TTTGTAAGACTAACCAATATTAAATGTTCAAGCTATGTCGAGGGATGGACTAGCGTACCACCGTCAAGGAGAACAATCATTGTACCTTTCTTTAACTCTTTTTTAATGTAACTGCCGTCAATAACTGTAGTTGGACAATAATTTAATACCTGATGCAGCCATTCACAATTTATCACATGTTTCTATTTTGTTTGCAACACCAAACATTAAATGAGCACTGTCAATATTACACATACCCTTTAAAGAATATGAATGGTGATATGTCTCTATGAGAGAGAAATCTACACATACTCACCATGAGGGAGGATCCTCAGCTTTCTACAAATACCCATTAGTAAAGGATGCTATTAGTCTTCTTGCAACGTCAACGTGTGTAAGAGCCAACCCATGTTGGGGATGAAATCACAAAGCTTGTTACATTGTATGACGTCTGTTTAAAGCCTACTTGGGTGTTCCCAAGTTTGCATTAGTGGTCCTGATTCACTCCTGATGTGCTCTCGGATGTAGTGTTAGGACTGAGAGTGAGGTTTCATAAGAGTAGAAAACTAGGGTATTATCCATAGCTTCTTTAGCCTACAGTGTAAGGTGCTTAGCACCCTCAAAGAACGATGTCGAACTTAGGTGTAATAGTTACTTCAAAGTATCATCAGGTTTGCATCGAACTGCCAGTACTTGAAGGTCACTGTACAATTTCATGATGCCAAGTTTAAATGTTTGAATGGATGTTTTGCAGATAAATCTCTACACGCGCTTGAAGTGATGTAATATGAGGTAGAGAATCAAGAGTAGTATGAATTGGTTAACAGAGCTACAGATAACGTTTTGGGTCGATGAGTTATCTACTCGCTTCATTGTGCTCATCTGGTAGACAGAAGCCGTTATTGAGATATCAGCGTCGAAAATATGATACTTGATACAAATCTGGCAGTACCGCCGTCCTACAAACAGTTCCTTAGTATAGCACTTTGTCAAAGCGGATGATTTCTTGTAGACCGAAAACTTTTGAACATGAAATGGGAATAGGTATATATTTTTCCCAGATGCATTGTATGGACTTGTACATGTTTACTATTCAGAACTCAGGAGTTGCTGTGATGACAGACGCACTTGTATACCAACATCAAAGATACTGTAAGTCTTGCTGATGGGTTCGTTATCGTTTAGAGTATTATGATCTGAATTGCTAAAGTATGCCATAACCAAATCAGATCCATAAATGTATCTCAGCTTAGCATGAGATAACGCTTTAGATAGCCGCTGGGGAACCAGAAGTCCAGTCCAAACTAGGCAACAGTCTGGAAAGGAACGGAGTCTGCATACTGCAGAATAAAGGCATTCACAATTCGGAGAGAAAACGCGTTGCCAGCCTTGAGTCCATTTCAAACGGGACAATTAATCATACCTGGCAATGCCTGAAGCACATGTATATTCCAATGTGTCTGTACATACCAACCTTTAACACACCTAGAACAGATAAATCAGTTATCACACGCGCGCGCACACACACGCGTGCATGCACACCCAGCATAAATAACAGCATTTGATACAACCCAACAGGCATGCCAACAGGCCAACTTGCGAGTGAGTGACTGATTGAGTTTAGGTTTACGCCGTTTTTAGCAATATTCCAGCAATATCACGGCAGGGGAACACCAGAAATGGGCTTCACACATTGTACCCATGTGGGGAGTCGAACCCAGGTTCGGCGTGAGGATCAAAGGCTTTAACCAGCTAACATGACAAGATACTAACATACGAACTTACGTGAAAACAAACATGTACGGGCCCACATGTATGCATGTGCGTTTGTATCGCATATAGACATAAGCAGCATGGCTGGCCTTTCAGTTTTCATTTACATTTTTAAAAATCCATTAATTCTTCCCACTCTTCATCATCCAGATGGCTGTCGGTTTTGTGGAGGCAGAGGTGGTGGCGCTGGTAGCTTTGGTGGCTCTGGTGGCAATGCTGCAAGGGGTCCAAGAAAGGAACAACAAAGAAGACCTGCTTTTTGCTGGACAGAACGCAGAAATTAGTCAGCTTGGGGGCTGGAAAGAAGTGGAACGAATCAGGACAAGAATTTCCGGAAACCTGGTTATGGCAAAACATGACAGTAAGGTACATGTTGGAAATGGAAGAACGAATAAACTTTTGTTTTTGTACTCTTTAACCACTGCATATGAAAGATGTGTGGTTAGCCTTAAACAGGAACACCAGTAGAGAGGTATTATGTTTATGTTGCTATTGTTGCTATTTCCACAATTAATGTGGGCTTATCTGCTTATTTCTGCACAGTGGAAAGTTTTCTTTGGTAGGCCTGTAATTAATACCGGCGACTAAAGTTGCCAAAAGTCGTCTGCTTCTCTCTCGCCCGCCAACAGAGAGCCACAGAGGAGGCTACGTAACTCTGTCGCCAGAGCACTGCAGCGAACCGGAAGTGACGTTACATGAGGAAGGATTTTCAGTTAGCTGTATATAAAATGTGCAACAAGCTCGTCATTTTGCTGAATTCTCCGACGTCAGCGACCAGATCGCCGTAAATTGCTCCCAGGAGTCGTGTGATGGTGTCATCATGTACAGATTTCCACCCAACCCGCAGTTCGTGCTAAATTGGTTATGTTTGTGAGTGCGGGGCGAGCGTTAATTGAAGCCTGGAACATATCTTACTTGTGTTCAGATCACTTCCCGGAAGTTAAAAATCAAAAGTACTAGTTGTAGTAAAATATGTATATGATTGATGACCAGAAGATTTTGCATGACAAAACTTGTAACATAACGATTTCTTCCTCGGAAGCGAGGTTGTGGTGCAAGTGACAATAATATTGTAAAGTAGTATTATATTAACACCCGCCTAATATAATGCAAAATCCTATTTGCCATCGATGAAATACATAGTTTACTACCGGTAGAAAGTAGTTTTGATTTGTAACTTTCTATTGAAAACAAACCTAAATAGCATTTATTCTCTGACTGGCGGATGTTCGCGACAGGGCCGCCATTTTAAAATCGTGACGTCACGGGCTAAAGTCTGTTCGAGAATCAATGAGATTATGGTTTGTTTTCATCAAGTTAGAAAATCAAAACTACTCTCCACTCGTTTCTTCCGCAGGAAGCGAGGTAGGGGTTGAAGTGACAATATTGTGCGATAAATTACCTGCCATATTCACGTGGTTAACGTCCACTCACCAGTATGTAGATACTAGTCGATCTTCTTCCTGTAACCGTAATGAGCGAGGCTGATCATCGTTTTAACTACCACTAGCGTCTGGCTCCAACAAATAAGGCCTAGCGACAACAAGCGATTTGACAGAATCGTCTATGAAAACTAAGTTGTAACTCGGAAGCTAGGCAAAGCGGGTGACAAGACTAAATGACAGTAGATTGTGAAAACAAAAGCTTTCACTTTTCACAACAATTGTCACGATTTCAGATTTCGACAAATCTGTAAACAAGATAATTTATCCCGGAAAGTACATGAATTCGTAAGCGAACCTCGTATGAATAACTCACATTACGTCACTGAGACGCGCCCTCTAATTGGTTGAAATTTCGTTCGCGGGGAGAGAATTTGCACTGTTGTCACAATGAGTTAATTATTGGTCGAAATGAGTAGTTTTAATGACGGGGTTTCATTACATAACAATGTCAAAAAGGATTTATGTATTTGTACCCCTAGAGTATATGGGCTCTTTAATGTTAATTAAGTGAATAGAAATTACTGAACGGCAACAACAACTGAAGAAATAAATTCAATAAACCAACAGTTAATATCAATGTGTGGTCCAAGTGCCAAGTGGATAAAACCTTTGGTAGTCACGCCTACGACCAATGTTTTCAGTTTAAGACAAGCTGTTTTCACCTGGACACTTCATGTTGATCATGAGGAAGCAGGGTTTTTTTGTTGAGAATGGTCGAAAGCTGATATCGTCTTAGTTGGTTATATTTTTCACTCTTCAATACCACAGTGCCGATGGCACAGCTGTCATCTCAACAACAGTGCCAGATACCATCACGTCTTGGGTGGCCAGCGCCTTCGCCGTCAACACTCAGAGCGGCCTTGGAATTGCACCAACCTCAGCCAAGGTAGGTCACTAATCTACGCCTCGACCTAGCTACCTCCGTAAGTAATTTTGTGTCTGGTCTCGAGGTTACTGGACCACGTCTAAATTTGTCGTTTTCTTAATACGCGTGACGATTGCAGTTTTCTCCCCATCCGATGACACACAGCGATAGAACTAAATACAATCCAGACTCGGTTAAAGTGAAGCTGATTGTTTGGGTTTTGTGTCCCTGAGATGCAACATTGTGGAACTCTTTGTCCACCCAAAAGTGATAATGTTCAGACCCTCATGTTCCGGCCTTTGTCGAATGTGTTTACTTAATAACATGTTTACCAGCCTACATGTCGTGTGTTCAGATCCGTGTGTTCCGCCCCTTCTTCGTGAGCCTCAGCCTGCCGTACTCCGTGACCAGGGGAACAGCTAGCTCTCCAGGCCATCGTCTTCAACTACCTCGCTCAAGACGTCGAGCGTGAGTAGTAGATACGACGTGGACAAAGTAGTTATTTCCAGGTACCAGAAAATAATTGCTCTAAGCCTTTGGAGTTTTCAATGGTATCCTAGTTCATCGGGGAAGATGAGAGTCTCTTTTGTGATAGCCCTTTTTTGTTAATTTCTATACTGATGGCCAGATTCCCGTAGTACAGGTAAACACGGTTATGCTATGCGAGTGATACATAACTCTGATACATGTGCATCAGTTTGAGGACCCATACCAGTCTTTAGGCATTACCAGCGAACGCTTTTCCTACTTCGCTGACCGACTGCTTCGTGTACCGCCCAAAAGATTGCACCGGTTACTTCAAGCCTATGACTGTTTTAATATAACTTCACAAGTATATGTCGATTAAGATAACATCATACGAGTCCAGTGTTGATATTTTGCCAGTGTATGAAATAAGCCAAAAACCCAGCCAGACATCAGGGCTGGTACCTTCAAAATGTTACCAGTCCGAAATGAATTTAACCAGATCAGACACCAAGATATATCGTGAGTTTACTCAGCTGTATGGAACATCTAAAATCTTTACCAGATCATCGGACTGGCTAGCTGTAAATTTAGACTGTCCTTCAGAAATCTAGCCCGTCTCGGGCTGTCGGACAGGCCTTATTTCATGCACTGATTTTGCTAAAAGTTTGAAAAGCCACTGAGAAGCCGTCTTCAAGTTCCATACCCACATCTTTTAGGCTGTTGTGACTCTGCCCAAGTCTGTGGAATACAGGAATGTCGTTGTCCGTGGCAACAGACGTGAACGAACAGAATCGGAAGATCAGAGTCAGACAGTCCAGGTAAGCGGTTGATGTTATTATCAGGAGTAAGATCAATGAATCGCGGTATCATCAATGTATTAACTGACTCCCATCTACATGTTGAACATATGTACGATACACAGTTTCTTGCAAACAGTGCCGTGGGTGTAATATTGCAATGTATACACATAATTTTAAAGGATGTAACAGTTTTATTACATTGGTGAATTATTTTACCACTTCACCAAATCCCGTTGACTATAATCATAAATCGAATGGTTAGCTAGTATTTTCTCACAACATTAAAGAATAGCAATGCTTCAGTGTTAACGTTGTGTATATTACCCCAGGTGAAGGCAGGTGGCGCCACCTCTGTATATTTCCCCATTGTCCCAACCATCCTGGGGAAAATCGACCTGACCGTTTCCGCCCGATCCACCCTCGCTGCTGACGCCATCAAGAGACAGCTCCTGGTCGAGGTAAGGAAACATTTTCATTCATTCTTCCGTTCTCCTTATGAGTACAATCCCACTTCTATTCCTATTGTTTGGTCTCTTCTCATCCTGTAGGAACACCATGTGAGTACAATACAGTAATCACAATCTCTTTCCAGTTCGAAATAACCACTGAATAATAACATGTTCCTTTGAGTACATACAATCTCTCTTCAGCCTGTATGTACACGAAAGAATATAGTGTTCTTTTATGTATTCACAATCTCTCTTCAGCCTGAAGGAACCCCTAAAGAGTACAATCTTCCTGTCCTGATTGATCTGAGGGAAGCGCCCAGTTTTGTCAAGTCTGTTCCCCTCACTCTGCCCCAGAACGTGGTCCCAGGGTCACTGAGAGCTAGGGTCACCGCAGTTGGTTTGTAGCGTCGTTTCTTTATACAGGACATTTGTCATCTCCTAATTATTTCGTCCTTACGGTAACAGTTTGCATGATAATGACATGCATGCATAATGCATTCTAGTCACTGCATATTAAGTAAAAACATAAATGTAGTAGTTCTTGTGATTACTAACTTGTATTTATATGTCTTGGTTTGGTATTTCATAGTTTCAGAAAAATAGAAAGAAAATGAAACAATTTGATTTCCTGAAGACAACCTGTGTCCCAACACGTATATATATATAATTTCGTCATCTAGGCGACCTAATGGGTCCAACAGTGAATGGTCTGGACAAACTTCTGCGCATGCCTACCGGATGTGGCGAGCAGACGATGCTAGGGTTGGCCCCGGATGTGTTTGTCACCAACTACCTGACAGCAACCAATCAGCTGACGGGAGACATGAGGACAAGGCAATCAAGTACATGGAATCTGGTGCGTTACTGACACCATGGAGACTGGTTTTATAGTGCTATCCCACTGAGATACCATTCCGCAGTGAAGCATGAATACCCCACACAGACACATTATACTGACTCCGAGCCGACCAGTCCTTGTTGTACCCATTAATGCCGAGCGCCAGGCAGGGACCAACACGTACCATATTTTAACGTCTTTTGGTATGACGCGGTCGGGGATCGAACCCGCGACCTGCCGCTCTCCCAAATTTAACAGATAATACTTATGTACAATGACTGAATAAAGTCTTGCATGTGTAATGTAATATTAAAGAACACACGCACCATCATACAAAAATATCAGATTCACGACGAAGCTCACACGTGGCATAACAATGTTTTCACATTTCGCGCACCGCATCAGCTCCCGACCGTACTGAATTACATGAATGTAGCGTAATCGACGTAATACGATAAAGATTTGAGAACAAATGCAAAAATACACTGCAGGCTTAAATGTGTGATATTCAGACATCTAGTGCCAGATTTGAATTACCGATTGCAAAAAGGGAACAAAATGACAAAATATGACCTGAAAACGATCAGCTGATTCCACTGCCTCGCTTCGAATGGCAATTTTGCGATTCATTAATGCAATATAAGCAGTCATGGCTATCCATCACATCACAAATATTTCAGGATATCACACTTGATATATCATCGGTCAAGGGAAAAGATATACTGTCCATATGCACCAGCGTGAACGTTAACGGTGATGGTGAAGGCTGTACTGGTTAACTGTCTCTAAGTGTTTAGTAACAAGAACAGATCCCATCGCGCATAAGACATGCTCTGTCAGTTTAAGGTTGGACCATCCGGACCAGCGCTCCAAGTGGATTAGTGAAGGGAAGATAAATTGAAAAAGATCGCCCATTTAGGTGCTTGAGAGACTTTTCAAAATATTATATTTTTTAAAGTTGACCTTAAAGACAAGTTTTTGGTTTGATAAGACTGAAATAATTGCTGTCGGCGGCATTTTGTAAAATAAAAACAAATTTGCTTGTTCCGTCGGAAGGAAACTTTGGGTCGGTCGGGAGATGAGAAACACAGAAATGAATACTGACGGCCTTAGCAGAAGTCACAGATGTTGACAGATGTAATAGTAAGCTAATTGGGGGTGGGATGCGTGTGTGTGTGTGTGTGTGTGTGTGTGTGTGTGTGTGTGTGTGTGTGAGAGAGAGAGAGAGTGTGTGTGTGTGTGTGTGTGTGTGTGTGTTTGTTTAGATCGGAAATCTGTTATTCCTGTAAAGATTATCGGTTCCTTACTGTCAGGTGACAACCATGAAACCATTCGAAAAGGCATGAAAGGTTGTTTGTCACCGGAAGTACTTAAGTCCCGCGTAGTGACTTACTTACGGGCCCTATTTGTGTATCGTATATCACGTTGTATCTCGGTCATTTCCCTCATCTCCTCCAGGATACCAGAGAGAGTTGACCTACCAGCACAAAGATGGTTCCTTCAGTGCTTTTGGCGAGAGGGATCCTTCCGGCAGCATGTGGTGAGTTCCGTAGGTTGAGATCCAATAACGTATGCAATAAGCAGAGTGGGTGAGTGATACGTTTATGCTAGCGTGCAGCTGAACCCAGCACTCTACTTCCAGGTTGACAGCGTTTGTTGTGAAGACGTTCCACCAAGCTAAACCATACACCTTCATCGACGATGCAGTTTCTGACCAAAGCCATCGACTGGATGATACGGAGACAGAACGCTGACGGTTCCTTTCCGGAACCTGGAAAAGTCTTCCACAAATCCCTGACAGTGAGTGTAGAGGCAGTTAACCATTAGGGTTTAGGAAATGACTCTAATACTTTGGACCTACCAAGTTTAATCCAAAATATGCCTCTTATTTTTTTTAATCGGTGTGAATTCTTTTTCTTGATGAAGAAATTACCTCATGTGCTCGTATCAAAATTAGTGAGTGGCCGTAGGTTTGGCAAGGTTGATACTACATAAAACATTCATAACCAGATACTGAAATTCATCCCCTTTCATCAGTATGCAGTCAGCATTTCCTAAATACTTGCATTCGGCAATATATACTATTCCCTAATAGAAACGCATAACCCAGAAATCTGTTGCGAAATTGTTGTAATTTCAAACATGTATAACTAGTCCACAAATAGATTTTAGGAAATGAATTTTGTATCAGTTTAGAAGAAGGAAATGTTTATACAACCAAGTGGATAATTTTAGATAACGGAGGCGTTGAGCGCCATGGTGACGACGTAGCACGGGCCCGACGTCAGATCTGGCTCTCAATCCAATTTCTCTCAACCTGCTCCGTACAGTTTGACCGGATATCCTCCGAAGTCCAGGCACCCTGGCTGCTGTGCTGTCACCCATGGCAGTACGATCACGCAAATGTAGTACCCGGATGTACCGATCTTGGGCTACAGTGGTGACTCGAGGTCTGCCTATATGGGG